TACTTAACAGAAGGATAAGTGGTTAAAATGTAAAACACTTCTCACATATAACAAATATTTAATTAATGGGCATAACATTTGGAATGCAAGTTAAGGTCCCAGATATTCAAAACACAATCTTATTTGAAATAGTGTTCAAAAATATAAGTAGCAAATGTTATGATGCTATTTTTTTTACTCCTTACTCTTTGTTGAATGCTGTTCTGAGGGAGATCTTAACTATAGCGAATGTTGTCTTTTGTTAAAATTCTGTAACCTCCTGAAAAAGGGTTGACCTTGAAATTTTAGAAAAACTATAAAGCATATTTGTGAAAGTCAAGTTTTCTTATTTGTTCATAATTTGGCCTTGGAGTTAACTGAAAATGGAGGCTTTTAAATACAATTAGTAACAGCAGCTGGTTCCAAAAGTTTGTTGCCAAGAAATGCTACACAATTGTGTGTTTCTCCTGATGTCAGTAGGCCGTCAACCACTCTGGGCAGATAATTTCATTTCCTGAAGCAAAAAATGTAATTGTAGCACTAAGTCGTAATTCTGTTTAGATCCTATCTAGTCAGTTCATATTTCCAATCAAATTCTACTGTTGAACCCTTAATTATGCTTTTTGTATGTCATAGAATACGGTGTTGGTGGAACTCTGTGCTCACTTTCCCAGCCTGTTATTCTAGCTGCAACAGATAGAATAAGAATTACATTCCACTGGTTATTGCTGCACATACTATAAAGATATTTTCTTTATAGAGGAATACATAGAATCTGCATGCTTTAGGCAATGATTTTGATTTTAGGATTGTAGGTCTCTTTATGCTAAAGGAATGCCATCATGAACTGGCAGAGGACGTGCTAGGCATTCATTAACTGGATAATCTGGTACTGCAAATATATTACTCAGCTTCCCCACTAGATAAAATCTTTATGTACCTGAGTAAAGTTAGGGTGGAAAGATCTATTAAAAATGACATTTCTGAGAGATGGTGGAACAGCACTTAATTTCTAAATTGTTAACCTTTTTAAATTTGCAAATTAGGAATGATGTGTCCTTTCTACTATTATGGTAGTATTTATTGAGAGCTTACTGTGTTTCAGGCACTATCCTAATCCTTTAACTCACTTTTTTCATAGCTTTCATATCAATAGTTATTTTCATTTTACGGAGCAAAAAAGCAAAGGAATCAGACCTTTTCCAAGGTCATATAGTTAGCCTAGGTAGAATCAGGTGTCCAGACAAGTATTTTAACCATTTCATGATTTGTGCTGAAATCCGACTGCACTTGGAAAGCATTTGGGAGCTTTACCTACCCCACCCCACCCACAGACCACCACAAAAAAAGAAGGCAGCACATGCCTGGGAGGAACCCCCAGTCTAACTCAGAATCTCTTAGGGATGAGGTCTGGACATTGGTATTTATTGGTGTTTTTAAAACAACTATGATGAGTTCAAAGTGAAATTCGAGTTAGAAACCACTGCTTTGTAATTCTATTCCTTTTAGAATTAATTACACTTAATTTGGTGAAGTAATCTGATAAGTAGGAGATAAAGCTACATCTGAAGACTTCAGGCTAGAATAGAACTATGGCAAAGATTTTACACACCTACCCACATAAATGGTCAACTGAATAAAAATGATTTCTATACTCAAACTTTGAGCCATACAACTTCACATACCAGAGATGATGAAGGCAATTTATAAGGAGAAAATCTGAAAACTCTTAAACTATGAAAGTACATGTAGTTTAATGAATGCTGTTTCTATATGAAATTCCATACTTTAATAGTGTCTCTAATTTTTCCAAGCTTTAATTCATTATCATGAGTTGAAAAATATCGGGCAAGCTACTTGTATTTTAATGATAAATAAGGTACACATGCATAAGTATGATCTGTAATAATAAAACAGCCAACAAATGTTCCGTGCTCTTGGTTTTCAGAGTTGGGTGATCCTGTTATAAAGATAGATGAAACGTTAATGAATACAGAATTATATATAAATAATCATACTCATTGCATTTAATTTTATTAATTGATATTGGCTATCATGTTATAAGAATATAGAGCAACATTTGACTTAATCTTTACATGTCTAGTTATTATCCTACAATGGGATAACAGAATGAAAAAATGTATCATGCTTATAAACAAGAGGGATTGAATTAAGATTGCCGTAAGACTTTTCATCTTGAATCTCCTGAGTAGACATGCTCACCTCACATTTATAATGTTCTGTTACTGAAATGTGGTCATTAAATTTAACACAGAGTTGTGAATGAATAAGGTAGACATTCAAGTTTGGAATGGGGAGAATAGGTTGTTCATATGGGTTGTTTTTAAAGCATGCCATTTTGTAAAGCACAAAAGATGTTTTGGTACAGTGTTCCTTCTTTGTATGTTAGAACCACTGAAAAAGCCACAGAATTTTAGAGTTAGGAGTGGCAGTTCTTTGAGTTCAGGCATTTGTGTTCAAGGTTATACAGCTATACAGCCAGTGAGAGTGCCAAAACCATAGCTGAGATGTCTCCATTACCTGTTCCTCTTTGCACTCTTATCAGGCTGCTCACTTTATATGAGGAAAAAATCAGGTTTAACATTTGTTTATGGTTCCAAGTTTTTTCTTCCAGGCTTTGTCTTTCCAGATCATCAAGTAATTTTATTGAAAAGGCGAGGAGATACAATGAATACTGCCTAACTAGAAATAACTACAGATAACTATAGCTAACTATATATATATATATATAACTATAGCTAGCTATGTAACTAGATATAATAACTGAATACTCTTTCTAGGATAACATTATACTTTTTTTTGTTTGTTTAACATTAAAATTAATGTTTTTTTGTTTGTTTAACATTTAACAAAAAAATACAGAACAATAATTTTTAAGTGGGTAAAATTCTGTAAAAATATGAGGTTCTGAAATTAGAAAAAGTTCTAAGAAGAAAAACCATTTAATTCATTGTAGGTTGCTAATAGGAAGATAATCATTTTTGCAGATTATCTAACTCACATCTAGCTTTCAATTCTGGGGAAGTCCCTTGAAACTGTCGATAAAGTTACAAGAGAAATCATGTGGTGAGCCTGAGGATGTAGTAAAGAATAGAACACAGAAGACAGCAGTGCAGCCAGGATGACTTTTCTTACATAATAGGGTGGATCCTTGGCTACTGACACAGTCCCACCCCTGCTGAAGGCAGAAGAGGCTTGTTAACAGCCATCAAGCCCATGGCTTTAGGCCAGTGCTGCACTTGTGGGGGCTGTGTTGTCACCAGCAGGCATCTCCGTGGGGGCATCACATGCCATATCTACTTTCTCTTGTATTTCATCTACATGGCTTGTTGTTGACTGGATAATAAAGCAAGGTCAAGCTGTTCAAGGCATCATTCTCACCAGTTTTTGATTGTGGATCAGTCTTTTCTGGCCTGGCCTAGTTCAGTAGAGAGCTTTGTCTTTCCAGATCATCAAGTAATTTTATTGGAAAGGCGAGGAGATACAGTGAATACTGTCTAACTAGAAATAACTACAGAGCAAACTCTGGCTCTAGGCAGGTTAATGGTATTTTGCATCTTCTTAAAGGAGAAAGTCTTATACCCTTACTCCCTCCCATCTGTTTGAGTAATGTAGGATAAATGTTGAATCCAAGAAAATCCTCAAATCTGAATGGAATGAAGAAACCCAACTTAATTCTAACACTTAATTCCTTGCAAGAGACTCTGCATAATCTGTAGGGACATGCATAACTGCAGTGATGGAGAAACTGTGGTTCCCTAGGTTTCCCAATAGTACAGCCTTGTTATTTTGCAGGCAAAATTTCCCAGCCAGCGATACAGTTATATTTAAATATAAGCACACATCTGTATTCCCAAGACTAATGTTTACCAAATACACTGTAAGTGTACCTCAAGGGTCTTTTTTTCTAAGTATGTATTATATTTTATTAATGATGATACAAACATCCCTATTACTCAGATTCTGAATATTGGACTGTGTCCTGTATCCTAAACTAAAGCAACTTATCAGAATTGTGACAAATATAATTATGGTGCTAATGTCATCTTTCAAAATATATATGAAAATAATACATCTAAGTAGATTATGTGCTTATTAGTATGTTGGCAATGGGGATTGGTCTGCATTAAGTCAGAATTTGTTTAAATAGGACTATTGTATTTATACAAGTATGTTACTGACTTTACAGCTTGGCATCTTACAAAGACATTCTGGTGGATTTGAATTTCCAAAATCCTTTGCCAGGTAGGAAAGGGAGAAATCGCATATAGGTTTTATGACTTTTCATGAATAGACCATTTTCTTTCTGTTTAAAAATATGAAGAAAATATGTTAGGTAGAGATGCTTTTAGATTTATCATGCTTCCAGTAGCAAAAATATAAACTGTGCTGCAAAAGTTCTTTTACACAGACCCTGTAAAGGTCTGAGGAAAATTACTACCTTTTTTCATGGTGGGCTGAGGGAAAACACATGACATGTTATAAACTTGTTTTTTTCCCCTGCATTCATATACTCCTGGGGTGTAAAAGTAATGTTTTCTGCTAAGAACTTTTGTAATAAAGACTACTCCACATATTAAAAATTTTAATTAAGTTGGTTGGACAGTGAGAAAAATGGAGAACCCTGTCTTACAATCTCTTGTAATTCTTCTGCATGACTTATACATATTGCCCCATTCAGTTACATTTTTAAAATACATAATAATGTATTTGTTTTCAGGATTACAACTCTACTTTATTCAAAATGCAGTTTTCTGGACCAAAATATCCTCTCCTATATTCTGTGGTATGGCAGATTACTGTTGCATTGAAGATTTCATTTATTTATAAGAAATGTACTACACTGGGGTGTTAGAAATAGCTTTACAAAAATGGAAGCTCTGTAGTGGAAGCAAAGGGGCAATAGTGGATAAATTGTGCAAAAGGCTGCTTGTTTGGAAATCAAACTTAATTTAAAATAGCTTTCAATCACTAGTAATGTAACTGCTTTAAATTTACAGACAGTGGGAGTAGCTCACCGTTACCCAAGTATGCTTCATCTCCCAAACCAAACAACAGCTACATGTTCAAACGGGAGCCCCCAGAGGGATGTGAGCGAGTGAAGGTCTTTGAGGAAATGGCGTAAGTAATGTCTTTTCTATCAGCTGGGATCTGCAAAGCTGTAAAGCTTCTTACTGAGACCAGTTGATTACATATGAATCAACTACTCTATCCAGCTGATAATGTGTTTCAAAAGCAAATTATGAAATGAGATTGAATAGGCCAAAGATATCTTATTGGAGAATTGGAGTCTGTAATGCCGGAAATATACAGACTAACACAAAAAAACTTGGAAATTCATCCTTACTACCCAATGGCTTATTTTTAACCATTAAGAATTTTCCTTTCAAAGGCTCTTATTAATTTAGATGGCTAACAAGACATAACAGCAAAGCTAGTATGTATGTATGGCTAGCCCGATGGTAGTGAGTCCACCAGTCAGAAGGAAATTAACTAGTTTCCTTCCCTGTGGACACGTGTATTCATTGAACTTTCTGTTCCCAGATATTTTTTCTTTTTGAATCGCCAATATGGATAACTTACAAATTAAAGGAAAAGAGGTTCATCCTGTAAATACTTGGCAGAATAGCACAGAAAAAGACTGTATGGCTCTTGGCCTCACTCATCCCTTTGTCCCAGCACAGGTGTCTGGTGGAGGCTGCTATACTCTTGCAGCCTAGAAGGCAACAGACACCTGTCTTGCAGAGGCTGAGGACTTAGTTCCCAGGAATGAAAGGAGAGGAAGGGCTTCTGTACCCTGCTCTGTTGGGTTGAATTAAAAAACTACTGGAATTTTTTTTTCTGCTCTGTGTTAGCAGTGTGTATAGAAATGCAGAAAAAGGAGGGAATGCTCAAAACAAAATATATGGTTGAATAATCCTTCTCCCAGTATGCTTTCTTAATTAACAAAAAGTCATTTTAACCTTACATAACATTCAGCTATAATACAGGTTTTTCCATATTCTTAAATAATTAGAAGCAAACTAATGATCTCTGAAAAAATTTGTCTGCCCAGTCCTTTTGGAAATACTTTTGTCTCAGATATCACTTCAGTGCTGTGTACATCAATTGTCTGCCAGCTGACTTGTGCTATGGAAGATGTTTACCCCTGTGTGTACACTTAACTCATTCCCTGCCATTCACATTTTACCTGTTCTAGTGAAGTCCAATTAATTCAGAAAGTGCTTAACGTCTTACTGATTGTAAACCTAATTTTGTTTTATGGTTTTAGGTCTCGCCAGCCTATCTCAGCCCCTCTCTTTTCATGTCCTGACAAAAACAAGGTTAATTTCATCCCAACCGGATCAGCTTTCTGTCCTGTAAAACTTCTAGGCCCTCTCTTACCTGCCTCTGACCTAATGCTCAAGAACTCTCCCAACTCTGGCCAGAGTGCGGCACTGGCCACCCTGACCGTGGAGCAGCTCTCCTCCCGGGTCTCCTTTACGTCTATCTCTGATGACACCAGCACGGTGGGCTCCCTGGAGGCCTCTGGCCAGCAGCCATCCCAGCAGCAGCTCCTGCAGGAACTGCAGGGTGAAGAACTCCTCCCGGCACAGAGCTATGTGATCATCTGAGGCAAAGGGGGAGCTGGGCTCTGCCCTGTGGGCCGTGGATTAGGAACTAGATCTCAGACATCTATCTGCATGGAGCGACAAACTTACTGACCACCACCACCGACAGAATATTTATCAGCATCATAAAGTATCTCTCAACACCGATATTGGCAGGGACGGAACTCCTATTCAGCAGTTTTTGTGGAAAGCAGTAATGCTTGCAAAATGTGTGTGTGTCATTCAGAATTTTAAGTGGAGACTATGCATTTCATAGTATGTTTGACAGATTAGTGCTATGTCCTGTGTTTTGTTCCAAATTCTTCAGTATAAATAAGCTCTATATCAAAAAGTTGCCTGTCTAAATAGAAAATGTCTTGCTGTGTTTTGTCCTATGGAAAATACTGTACTTCACAATTATGTTTACAATTGATCCAGGTGTTTGTTTCTAACTTCTGTAATACATACAATGCAAAAAATAAATAAACCAATGGCCACAACAGTTGCACAGTGCCCACCCTATGGCCTAGCTTCAGGTACTTCTGTTGAAGTCTAAACTCAGGTAACTTGGAATGTATATCATATTGGGATAGTAACTATTTCACAGCTAAAAAGCTAAAGAGGGAACATCACTCTTTTGCCTTTCCTTATTTTATGCATTTCCCTTTCCTCATTACATTCCACATTCTTAGAAGAAGTGCATTCAACCCGAGGGAAACGGTTATCCTGGACATGGGTGAACATGAGGAGAACCAGCAAATCTGTGGTGCCTGACATCACTTTTGTAATGTGGTTACAAGTAAAACAGCTTGCATTCACTGTCAACATGTGTAAAGGTGGCTTTTACAAGTTCAGGTGTTGCTCAGTTAATAACTGTTACAATGTTGCAAAAAAAAAGTGTCCAGTACTAGGCTTTACATAAACATTCCACATTGTGTGTGCTTGAATTTAAAGACAAGAATGTCTGGGTTGAATTTCAGAACAAGAGAAGTTTTGCAGGGGATGGTAGAGATTTTTTTGTGTATGTTGGCCATGGCGGTCATGAAATGCTACTGTTTTATCTAAAGGCATATTTATGTTTAGTTTATTCTGGAGATTCTTTAATTTGCAGGTGAAACAATGACACACTTTTGGTTATTGTTTTCCTCCAGCAGTGGAGGTGCATGAATTGCATTCACATAGAGAATATAGGGCCTGAGGATGAATGAAATGTAAGTAAGCAAGTTATTTGGTGACTTACCAAGGCGGTAGTTTGAAGTGCTCTCTTATTTGAGCCTCTCATACTAATACGGTGAATAGATCTGTTCATATTTTGGATGTCCACAGCAAAGCATAAATCCATGTAAATAGCCCGGAACTTGCAGACTTGACCTAACTTCTCAACCAAGTGTGAAGAGAGCCCTAGATACGCCTGGCTGGTCAGTGGAAGAACCCAACTCTTGGGCATTGTTTCCTGCAGCACAAACAGGGTATCCAAAAGCAAAGGGAAAGTGTTGTGTTTTTTTTTTTGTTCCATTGCTTTCAGTTCAGTGAAACAGAGTTGTTTCATCTGCACCTAAAGTATATGACATAGTTTTCTTAAGAATTAGGGGAACAAGGTGCCTATGGTTCCAGGAACATGTCAGTTCCTTTCAGTCATTCCTGGGGTTTTCTTTGCGTTATTTTCTAAGGAGGTTGAAGAAGAAAAGGTAATGAAAAAGAAAGCAACACCATTGATTTTTTTTTTAAGACATGGTATATATGTATATGTTTGTGTGTGTATGTATTCTGTGTATTATTTTGTCATCCCAATTATCTTCTTTCCACCAAAGTTTGCAGTAATATTCTCTCCTGAAGGTGCATCTGGCTCCTTTAAGTTAGTCAGTGTTATATTGTAGGAGACTGTCATGGAAAAGGACTCAGTTTACTTTTGCCATTTTCACAGGGGAACCTTTTAAAACAATCTCTTCAGCAGCAGACACCTTTAACCCTAATAATCTCAGGCCTTGATGAAAATACTATATTTTGTAGGTTATGGTTAAAGGGAGAAAATTATTAGTTCTGTAAGATAAATATGAGCTCCATTAACTTCTGCTATTTGGTTTAGCATTATGTAATGTGTTGATCTTCTCTGCTTTTGTCCAAATATGATGCAATAGTATCAATATCGATTTATGAAAGATGGACTGAGTGCTTTTACGGTGATGAAATCTGATGTACGATATTTATAGTGATGTGCTTTTATTTTCTCATGAGAAACTAAATATTGTGTTGTACATTTGTTCTTAGCATATATTAAAGTTTTGAACCAAATGTGTTAAAGCTTATGCTTTGCCTTGTAAATTTCCCAGAAGTTGTTGAGCTCAAATGTATCCTACATCCAGCTGTAGAAATTTGTCAGAAATTGTTTAAATTTTGTATATAATCGTACTGTTTAATTCTAGCCACTGTGCTGAACAGTATTCGAGTTACCATACAATATGGCTTTACACGACGAAATGTGTGGCTTTTGTTTTGTATTTTTTCAGTATAGAAGTTCTGTGTCTTATTTAAATAAAGTTATTAGTAAAACTGGAACAGTGCACAAATGTTTTTGGAAAGACTGTTATCATCTTACCTGACAGAGACAAATTCACCTCAGGGTAATAATGGTAGTGCTCAGTGTTCATTGAGTTCCTGACCTTCATCTCTGGGGCTGTGGGAAGGCTACAGATTTCCACACCTGGTTTCTTCTTAACATTTAATTTATACACTTTCCCTCACAAGGTAAGAAGCTAGATGTCTAAAACTCCAAGTTATACTGCTCCCAGCTATGAGCACCTTAAATAGAGAAAACACTGTCCCTACATCATTATTTTATACCTAGGAATTATTTATGGAAATAAGTTTTTTAAGGTCAGTGAAATCACCTCAAAGGAAGTTGCATATTTCTTGCAAAGTAAGCTGCACACACACACACAAAATCCATTTTTACTCTTTCTATTTATGTTTAGATTCTGGATAGGAGAAAGAAAAGCTGTACAGAACAAAGGAGTGTTGATGTTATGCCCAGTTATCCAAATAGGGTCATGATAGGCCAAGTAAAGCGAAAGCTTTCAGGTCATGCAGCCTCAAAGCAAACACTAGTCACTTTGAGAAATAATTGAGCACCAAAGTGTTCTTCATTTCTGAAGCATGTATCATCAAAGAGATTGGTAATATTTGACCTTTGACTTTTACTTAAAAATGACTGTTTAGGACCTGTGTTTGGGCAGAAAAAAATAATGCAACTTTTTAGTGGTGAGATTCATCAACTCTCTTCTTGAGAATGTAATAGGCTTGATATTAACAGCCCTGAGAAACAAGTCAGTATTTGCAAAAATCAAACCTTAAGAACAAGGAGGAGGAGATTAGGTCCAAAAACTTAACATATTTTTAACCTTATCCTAGCCAGGAAAAACCACTTGACATTTATGAATTTTGCAAAATGAATGTTTACTCTGTCCCACCCGCCATCCCTTCTATGGCTCTGAAGCCCCACTGTTCCCTACCTATGCCCTGCTGCTCTCCACAGGCAGCTTCTGCTTCCATATCCCATCTTTTTACCCCTCCACACCCACTCTTTTGGTGAACTCAGGGCTCTCTGGAGCTGCAGGGCCTTTGTGAAGATGGATCCTTTAAGTCACACGTTGAGTCAAAATCTGAACATGATAGTTTGCTCTCCTGTCCCTTTTACCTAAAGAGCATTCCCTCTCAGACCTCTTGCCTCATTGCAACTTCAGTGATTAAATGGACTGGAGATACTGTCTTGTCCCCTGTCATACCAAATCAGCTCTCCTCTACCCTCCTATTCTTCCTTTTTCCAGAAGATAAGGACTGGAATTCTGGCCTGAAGGTTTGTCCACCTAAATCTCAGATTTGCTTTTCTGTCTTCCTGTTAGCTCATCACTGCCTTTCAAGCTACAAAGACACCATGGTGGCAAGTCAGACAGCCATGCCATACAGATGAATTTCTTTTGAAATAGGATTCTGATGGCAAGGAAACAAAATCAAGTATGTTAAATTTCCAATAACCTCTAATAGCAATAGGCCAGGGGTCAACCAGCAACATCCATGGGCCAAATCCACCCCATGCCTTTCTTACAGAAAAAATCTTACTGGAACAAAGCCACCCTTACTGGTTTTTATATTGCCTTTGGCTATTTTGCAGGACAGCAGCATTAAGTGGTTGCAACAGAGTCTGGCTGGCCCACAATGCCTATCTGGTCCCTTACAGAAAAAAATTACCAACCAAAGAAAAACTAGGTATAGGTAATTTGTATCATACATGTGGGCACTTGAAAAATATGTCCACAAATTCTTTGACATTCTACTCTTCAAGAGGTAGGGCTTAATTTTCCTTAAGTGTGGGCTGGACTTGCTGATGGATAGAATACAGTAGAAGTGAGGGTCTGTCACTTCCAAGATTGGGTTATAAAAAGGCTGCTGTCGGGTGTGAACTCTCCTGGATCACTTGCTTTGGGGGAAGCTGTATTGTGAGGATCAGGAAGTCTATGGAGGGACAGCCCCACATGGCAAGTAGCTGAGCCCTCCAGCCACTGAGTGAGCTTCCTCTGCCGGAGTGAGCAGATCCAGCCTGACACCTAACCAACAGCTGACTGCAACCTCACAAGGCACCTGGAGCCAGGCCAGCTAAACCACTCCTGGATTCCTGCCCTCAGAAACTGTGGGATAATCAGTTTATTGTTTTAAGATGATACGTTTTGGGGCAATTTGTACCATAGGGTTACAGAGCTAATATAGTACAGCAGCTGCCCTGTGTGCCGCTCTCCACGCAGACATACACACATTGCTATCATTGAGCGCACCTAGCGTATGGCTATATCATTCTGTCCTCTGGATCCAGAAAATGAGGTTTGCTTTTAAGAATGGACGCTTCTTGAAAGAAGCCCTTTTGAGACTAGGTCCAAGACAAAGGTTTCTCATACAAAAGTTTGTTATTTGAAAACCTTTTAAAACAATCTCTTCAGCAGCAGACACCTTTAACCCTAATAATCTCAGGCCTTGATGAAAATACTATATTTTGTAGGTTATGGTTAAAGGGAGAAAATTATTAGTTCTGTAAGATAAATATGAGCTCCATTAACTTCTGCTATTTGGTTTAGCATTATGTAATGTGTTGATCTTCTCTGCTTTTGTCCAAATATGATGCAATAGTATCAATATCGATTTATGAAAGATGGACTGAGTGCTTTTACGGTGATGAAATCTGATGTACGATATTTATAGTGATGTGCTTTTATTTTCTCATGAGAAACTAAATATTGTGTTGTACATTTGTTCTTAGCATATATTAAAGTTTTGAACCAAATGTGTTAAAGCTTATGCTTTGCCTTGTAAATTTCCCAGAAGTTGTTGAGCTCAAATGTATCCTACATCCAGCTGTAGAAATTTGTCAGAAATTGTTTAAATTTTGTATATAATCGTACTGTTTAATTCTAGCCACTGTGCTGAACAGTATTCGAGTTACCATACAATATGGCTTTACACGACGAAATGTGTGGCTTTTGTTTTGTATTTTTTCAGTATAGAAGTTCTGTGTCTTATTTAAATAAAGTTATTAGTAAAACTGGAACAGTGCACAAATGTTTTTGGAAAGACTGTTATCATCTTACCTGACAGAGACAAATTCACCTCAGGGTAATAATGGTAGTGCTCAGTGTTCATTGAGTTCCTGACCTTCATCTCTGGGGCTGTGGGAAGGCTACAGATTTCCACACCTGGTTTCTTCTTAACATTTAATTTATACACTTTCCCTCACAAGGTAAGAAGCTAGATGTCTAAAACTCCAAGTTATACTGCTCCCAGCTATGAGCACCTTAAATAGAGAAAACACTGTCCCTACATCATTATTTTATACCTAGGAATTATTTATGGAAATAAGTTTTTTAAGGTCAGTGAAATCACCTCAAAGGAAGTTGCATATTTCTTGCAAAGTAAGCTGCACACACACACACAAAATCCATTTTTACTCTTTCTATTTATGTTTAGATTCTGGATAGGAGAAAGAAAAGCTGTACAGAACAAAGGAGTGTTGATGTTATGCCCAGTTATCCAAATAGGGTCATGATAGGCCAAGTAAAGCGAAAGCTTTCAGGTCATGCAGCCTCAAAGCAAACACTAGTCACTTTGAGAAATAATTGAGCACCAAAGTGTTCTTCATTTCTGAAGCATGTATCATCAAAGAGATTGGTAATATTTGACCTTTGACTTTGACTTAAAAATGACTGTTTAGGACCTGTGTTTGGGCAGAAAAAAATAATGCAACTTTTTAGTGGTGAGATTCATCAACTCTCTTCTTGAGAATGTAATAGGCTTGATATTAACAGCCCTGAGAAACAAGTCAGTATTTGCAAAAATCAAACCTTAAGAACAAGGAGGAGGAGATTAGGTCCAAAAACTTAACATATTTTTAACCTTATACTAGCCAGGAAAAACCACTTGACATTTATGAATTTTGCAAAATGAATGTTTACTCTGTCCCACCCGCCATCCCTTCTATGGCTCTGAAGCCCCACTGTTCCCTACCTATGCCCTGCTGCTCTCCACAGGCAGCTTCTGCTTCCATATCCCATCTTTTTACCCCTCCACACCCACTCTTTTGGTGAACTCAGGGCTCTCTGGAGCTGCAGGGCCTTTGTGAAGATGGATCCTTTAAGTCACACGTTGAGTCAAAATCTGAACATGATTGTTTGCTCTCCTGTCCCTTTTACCTAAAGAGCATTCCCTCTCAGACCTCTTGCCTCATTGCAACTTCAGTGATTAAATGGACTGGAGATACTGTCTTGTCCCCTGTCATACCAAATCAGCTCTCCTCTACCCTCCTATTCTTCCTTTTTCCAGAAGATAAGGACTGGAATTCTGGCCTGAAGGTTTGTCCACCTAAATCTCAGATTTGCTTTTCTGTCTTCCTGTTAGCTCATCACTGCCTTTCAAGCTACAAAGACACCATGGTGGCAAGTCAGACAGCCATGCCATACAGATGAATTTCTTTTGAAATAGGATTCTGATGGCAAGGAAACAAAATCAAGTATGTTAAATTTCCAATAACCTCTAATAGCAATAGGCCAGGGGTCAACCAGCAACATCCATGGGCCAAATCCACCCCATGCCTTTCTTACAGAAAAAATCTTACTGGAACAAAGCCACCCTTACTGGTTTTTATATTGCCTTTGGCTATTTTGCAGGACAGCAGCATTAAGTGGTTGCAACAGAGTCTGGCTGGCCCACAATGCCTATCTGGTCCCTTACAGAAAAAAATTACCAACCAAAGAAAAACTAGGTATAGGTAATTTGTATCATACATGTGGTCACTTGAAAAATATGTCCACAAATTCTTTGACATTCTACTCTTCAAGAGGTAGAGCTTAATTTTCCTTAAGTGTGGGCTGGACTTGCTGATGGATAGAATACAGTAGAAGTGAGGGTCTGTCACTTCCAAGATTGGGTTATAAAAAGGCTGCTGTCGGGTGTGAACTCTCCTGGATCACTTGCTTTGGGGGAAGCTGTATTGTGAGGATCAGGAAGTCTATGGAGGG